AACTACAGATTCCAAGATAACGCTTCCCAACATTCAACCCTTGAGTGTATTAGGCTTAAAGACTGTCAAACTGACTCTGAATGCAATAAACCGATAACAGAAACAAGTCTGACATTTATTGGTTTAATTTGATTTACAGATAAAGATTTCAGGTTGTCACATCATCCCCCCGATAGAGGGAATTTCGTCCCGAAATTCGAACGTAGAAAACAATTATGGACTCGGAAAAAGATGCAGGTACTTCTGTTTCATCTGATCTTCGCGCTCCCAAGTGAATTCAGGTCCCCGCTTGGCATTCCAGTGGACCTTCACTATCGGTATGTGACTATGTTTCGTCCGTTTGACTTCCCGATCCATGATTTCTACGGGTTCCTCCACGAAGTGTAAGCTCTCGTCTAGTTCGATCTCATCGAGGGGTATCACAAGTGTCTCATCGGACATACACTTCTTTAGGTTCGACACGTGGAAGACGGGATGTACGTTGCTAAGTTCTCGTGGTAGACGAAGTTTGTATGCTACGGGACCGATCCTAGCGAGGATCTCAAATGGTCCAATGTATCTCGGGTTCAGCTTTCCATGCTTCCTAAAGCGTATCATGCCATTTCCAGGGTAAGACATTTAATAAAACACGGTTACCAACCTGGAACTCCAAGGGTTTTCGTCTCTTATCCGCATAGCTCTTTTGTCTATTTAAGTAAAATATTTACATTGGTTTGATTCGTGTTTATATATACATCAAAAGTATAACATAAGTAAAAGATGTGACTCTATACGCGCCGTCTTCTCAAAATCTATGTGAGGTACCTGTCTACTGATTTCCTGAGAATACAAACAGTTTTGAAAGAGTATCAGCATAAAGCTGGTGAGTTCATAAGCATGTTTTTGTAAGGAAAATCGGTTAATGAATCAATGAAAGTATTTGTATATTTCCAAGAAAATCCATTATTTTCTAACATGTGTATTTTGTTACTGAATCTCATAATGTATTAGTTCATATGTCTAGTTACCATTGAATGTGTTGTGCATTGTTTGTTTGAATGAGAAACCTCTTTTTACATGAAAAACCTGGCTATCACCAGTATGTATAGTAAGTTCGGAAAGCTCTGAAAACTTTAATGTGAATAGTAGGTCTATTACTTTATAATAAAACTAATTAAAGTTATTACCATTCATACATTAATCGTATATTCTTAGTACCAAATTTATGAGTTGTTATAACCATAATTGACCATTGGATTGCCTGAACGACGTTCTTCAGGTGTCGGAATCGAAATGACTTTGTCACCCAGGCCTCCGGCCTAATTGTAGCTAACAGTTATGGTGCGGGATTTTCAACCCCGTATAGATCTATACACAAACTCACGTTCTCCCGCAAGGAGACTCTGGTTATAATCTCAGGACTTTTGTTAGTACTTAAGTAAGTACGTGAAGAATGCTCACTCATAAAATGCTATACTAACGATTACATGTAGAATAAAATGAATTCTTGAATTTAACTAGCTGAATATATATCTCATAAACTATACTCTATATAGCTTATATGTTTGATCACATTGAATCTTATGTTTTTACATTGATAAGATAGTTATCCCGTAGACTATACCTATTATAGTCTATATGTTCATTAATGTATTCATGTTAAACACTGAAAAACTCTATGATTTGTGTTGAAAACCTCCCTTATGCTCAACAATATACAAAAGGGATGAAATATCTGAATATTTGATAAAAGTACAAAAACTGTGTGGTTGTGTCAATTGTATCAGTTCTAAGTGTATTGAAATCCTTTTTGTATAATTTCATAAGATCAATGATGTTTGGCTTGTATCCCCCCTGAAAACGTTAAAACTGTAAAGAAATAGGGGTATGCACTCACTTGATTAGGAGTGACTTGGATGAATAACAAGAACAAGATGCTTGGTATGCTAAGTGAAGTCCCGAGCACAGTACGGTCCTATTAAGAACATATTAACATGTATAGGCCTACAATTAGTGTCTAAAACCACTAACAATCATAGGAAAAACCCTTAGGATGTAGGAAATACTCACAATGAAGTGTTAGAATCAAGAATGAGGGACAAGAAGGAGTTCACGGCCAACCCACCATGGGTTCACGACCCAAGTTGTGTTCACGGCCCATGAATACATGAAGGGTTTACGGCCCAAGATGTGTTCACGGCCCAAGAACACATGAACACTTGAGGGGTTTTCGGCCCATTATGAAGGGTTCACGGCCCTATGAAGGGTTCACGGCCGTGAACACTTGAAGGTCATGAAGATGGTGATGAAAAATTGATGAATCAAGGCTAGAATCAAGTGGTTTCTAAGCATGAACAAGAAAGGGATGGAATACTTACGTTTTGAGGCCTTTAAGAGTGTTCACGGTTGAAGATAGTTGAGAGAGAATGGGGATGTTCACGGATGGAGCTTGAAGAAATGAGGAGAAAAATGTGTGAATCACATATATATATATATATATATATATATATATAATATATATATATATATATATATATATATATATATATATATATATATGGAGGATGGTTCACGGCCCAAGCATGGGTTCACGGCCGTGAACCTTGTTTGCCGTCGTGAACTCCCTTTGAAGGTGTTTCAGGCTCGATTGCAAACTACAGATTCCAAGATAACGCTTCCCAACATTCAACCCTTGAGTGTATTAGGCTTAAAGACTGTCAAACTGACTCTGAATGCAATAAACCGATAACAGAAACAAGTCTGACATTTATTGGTTTAATTTGATTTACAGATAAAGATTTCAGGTTGTCACATCATCCCCCCGATAGAGGGAATTTCGTCCCGAAATTCGAACGTAGAAAACAATTATGGACTCGGAAAAAGATGCAGGTACTTCTGTTTCATCTGATCTTCGCGCTCCCAAGTGAATTCAGGTCCCCGCTTGGCATTCCAGTGGACCTTCACTATCGGTATGTGACTTTGTTTCGTCCGTTTGACTTCCCGATCCATGATTTCTACGGGTTCCTCCACGAAGTGTAAGCTCTCGTCTAGTTCGATCTCATCGAGGGGTATCACAAGTGTCTCATCGGACATACACTTCTTTAGGTTCGACACGTGGAAGACGGGATGTACGTTGCTAAGTTCTCGTGGTAGACGAAGTTTGTATGCTACGGGACCGATCCTAGCGAGGATCTCAAATGGTCCAATGTATCTCGGGTTCAGCTTTCCATGCTTCCTAAAGCGTATCATGCCATTTCCAGGGTAAGACATTCAATAAAACACGGTTACCAACCTGGAACTCCAAGGGTTTTCGTCTCTTATCCGCATAGCTCTTTTGTCTATCTCTTGAAGCTTTTAGTCGTTCCCGGATTTGTACGATCTTTTCTTTAGTTTCTCGGATGATTTCTGGGCCTGTAAGAGTGCTATCAGGGACTTGACTTTTGGCTAACTGCGTGTCGCCCACCTCAGCCCATCACAGAGGGGATCTGTACTTACGGCCATAGAGGGCTTCAAACGGAGCTGCCTTGATGCTGGTATGGTAGCTGTTGTTGTAGGAAAATTCGACCAAAGGCAAATGTGTGTCCCACGACGTGCCAAAGTCAATGACGCATGCTCTCAACATGTCTTCCAATGTTTGAATGGTTCTCTCACTCTGCCCATCTGTCTGTGGATGGTAATCCGTTACCCTAAAGTGTTTTTAGATTGTTAAACCTGTTTTTGATGTGGTAATGATTGTGCTTATCCAATTTCAATGATAATTGTCAAAGTTTCAAGTTTTATATTAAGTTCATATGATTCTTGAAAATTGTTGATATGAATTCTGCATGCTTATAAGTTTTGATAGATCACAGATTATTTGACATTGCATGTTAGTTTAATTATTGATCTTGAATGCCTTTTAATGGACTCCATAACTTGTCCTCAAGTTATGGAATTCCAAGAGTCTTTTCCATTAAAATCATTAAAACTCATAAGTTATAGAAAGGAAAGGTTTTGAATTGTTTCAAAACTTGCCCTCAAGTTTTGGAATTTGTAAAGTCTCATACACATTAATACTTTAATTCCAATCCCTAGAATTTTAAAAGTTTAAAATTCAACCCTTATACTTTATAATATTATAAGTTAATATATATATATATATATATTATATATATATATATATATATATATATGTATATATGTATATATATATATATATAGATATATATATATATATATATATATATATATATATATATATATATAAGATCTAGTCAGTCTTACCGTTAGTAGGCCTCATTCACGAAGCCGGTCTATAAGGGGGGTATAAGGTTGTTGCCTATAAAATGGCAGCTTAATAGGTGTCCACTCTCACCCACCGCTTCCTTGACTGGTGGAGGGTCGTTAGCCGAACGGGTAGGATAGGACACTAATTCTCATTAAGTATAATGATTATTATAAAGTAACTAAATGTTTTATAAATTCCCAAATCTTAGTTACTTTAGGAAAATGTGAATTTGGTGCTAACCCATGAAATTAGACTTTGTACCTTACCAAGTCGTTAGTGGAGCATGTGTGGTTAACCGACACATTAACATGGACTAGTAAGAGTGGCAAAGGGTAACTTAATGTTTATCATAGATTGGTGGAGTGCGTGTTGTTAACCGGCACATCGATTAGGTGATAAAATTAAGGGTACCAAGTCAATTTGCATGGTTATTCACACCTTGTTTTGTGATCCTCGACATCCCAGTCACAAACTTGAAGGGAACAATCGAGATTTAAACATGCAATTGAAAAGTTCAATGAATCTCAAAAGAATCTAGGAATTTCAATTCATTAAAACTTAATAATTTATTTCGTTTTTCATGGTGGAAATTGGTGAATCGTCATTCGCCTACCTTCAGATATTTTGTAGCTTGGATTACGGCATCCCTCTTCCAAGTTATAAAATATTGTGTTGAGTCCTAGCCTTAATATTACATTTGGGTGTCTTATTAAGGATTCTTTATCTAATCTAAACTTGTCTTTCTTCTTTTCAGATGTCTTCCAACAATTCTTCTGGCTCAAACCCTACCGACTCCTTCTCTCTCATGAATCTTTGTGGGAGAGTCATCTTTTATGGTTTCAACTTTAATGATTGGATCAGGAACATCAGGATGGTCACACGTTACGAGGACAAGGAATATGTCCTCGACAAGGAGCTGAAGGAAATTGATGAGTCTTCTGCTACTCCACTGGAGATCGCTGACTTTAGGACTCATGAGAGAGATGCCACCAAGGTGGCATGTATCATGTTGGCCACAATGACAGCTGAACTCCAAAAGTCCTATGACGAATTTTACCCTTTTGAGATGCACATGGACCTGATGGATAGATACCATCAGAGTGCTTGTCAAGAGAGGTATGAAATCATATCATCCATGATAACAACCCGAATGAAGGATGGTGAACCCATCACGGGCCACATGCAGAAAATGCAAAGGTTTGTGGACCGTTTGCTGAAGTTAAATGTGAACTTCCCCGAGGAGCTGGATATCGACATCATACTGCACTCCTTACCTCCATGTTATGATCAGGTCCGAATGACCTATCATATGAACAAGGAGGAGGTCACACTCAACAAGCTTCAAGGACTTTTGAAGACCGCCAAAAGTGGTCTCAAAGGTAAGTCAGTTGTTACCACTCCTACTCCTACCACCACCCCTGTTTTGGCAATCGGGAAAGGTAAAGGGAAGAAGAGGAAGACCCCTTCAAAGGGTCACAAGGGAAAGTCTCTTGATGGTTCCTCTTCAAGTGGAACCAAAGGTGGTCCTGCTACTCCATCTGCCAACCCTAAAGAAGCTGAATGCTTCTATTGTCATGATAAGGGGCACTGGAAGCGAAGCTACCCAAAGTACTTGCATGATGTTAAGGATGGCAAAGTAAAACCCACCCATGTAGGTATTTACTCTATATTATCTAATGACTCACCACATACTAATTCTTGGGTCCTTGATATAGGTTGTGGAATTCACATATGTTCTGATTTGCAGGGCCTAAAAATAAGTGAGGATGTGGAGCACGGGAAGATAAACTTAATCATGGGGAATAGGAAAGCTTCACCTGTCACCAAGATTGGAGTTTATTCTTTATTGCTGAGTAGTGGGTTAATGTTAGATTTGAATAAATGCTGTTACTCGTCTGAAATGGCGAGAAATATTATTTCTTTTCACGGTTTGTACAAGCAAGGATTTACTTTTTCATTTGATAATGAATGTGGTGGTATTAATGCTTTTTATAATGGTGTTTTTTATTTTAAAGCATTACCTTGTGATGGTGTATATGAAACTGTGTTGGTTGTAGACAACTTAGGAAATAATGTATTGCATATTGATTCTTCCACTAGTTTGGACAAAGCATCATTGTGGCATTGTCGTCTTGGACATGTTGACAAGAATCGCATCGGCCAACTCCAAAAGGCTGGAGTCTTGGAATCATTTGACTTAAAGTCGGATGATAGTTGCAAGTCTTGCTTACTTGGTAAAATGACAAAGTCACCCTTCACTGGTACTTGTGCTAGGGGTGAAGGTTTGTTGGACCTCATACACACAGATGTGTGTGGACCCTTCAAAACCGCCACAAGGGATGCTAGCTGCTTTTATGTGACTTTTACTGATGATTATAGTAGATATGGCTATATTTACTTAATCAAGCATAAGTCAGAAACCTTTGAAAAGTTCAAAGAGTTTAACAGGAAGTGGAGATTCAGCTGGGAAGGAACATTAAGATGCTCCGATCCGATCGAGGTGGAGAGTATCTTAGTACAGAGTTCCTTGACTATCTTAAGGAATGTGGAATTGTTTCACAATTGACACCTCCCAAAACACCACAGCTTAATGGTGTGGCTGAGAGGCGCAATCGAACCTTGTTGGACATGGTTCGTTCCATGATGAGTCGAGCTTTGTTACCAATCTCATTTTGGGGGTATGCCTTAGAGACTGCCGCCCATATCCTTAATCTAGTCCCAACTAAAAATGTTGCCAAAACACCTCACGAGATGTGGACTGGGAAAGCTCCCACATTATACCACATCAAGGTTTAGGGTTGCGAGGCTTTTATGAGGCGCGAGACTCACGACAAGCTCGAACCTCGAAGTGAGCGGTGTATTCATAACCCACATAAATCCTTTGGTTACCTCTTCTACACCCAGTGAAAATGCGGTCTTTGTGGCAAGGAGAGAGGAGTTTTTCGCGAGAGAGAATTCATAAGCCAAGGAAACAGTGGGAGGCAAATTGACCTTGAAGAGCTTCAGGAGTCAAGTGGTGAAGGAACCTCAAACCCTAGCAATCAACCTGAGGAGGAAGCTCCTGTTGAACCAACTGACGAGTCTGTACCTCTGAGGCGTTCCACTAGAGTTAGAAATACGCCTGAGCATTATTATGGTTTCCATATTACTGGGGAAGGTGATACATTTATCAGTGATAGTACACTGCTAAATCTGGATGAACCTAACAACTATAAGGAAGCCATGGCAGGCCCTGAGTCTGCTAAATGGAAAGAGGTTATGGACAGCGAGATTCAGTCAATGTATGACAATCAAGTTTGGAACTTGGTTGACAATGTACCGGGTCGTAAGACAGTCGGGTGAAAATGGATCTTCAAGAAGAAGACCGACATGGATGGGAAAGTGCACAGTTATAAGGCGCGACTGGTTGCGAAGGGCTTCACCCAAACTCAGGGAGTTGACTATGATGAAACCTTCTCACCAGTAGCGGAAATTATGTCTGTTAGGGTTATGCTAGCCATTGCTGCATTTCATGATTATGAAATATGGCAAATGGATGTCAAAACCGCTTTCCTTAATGGAAAGTTGGTTGAGGATGTTTACATGAGTCAGCGAGAGGGTTTTGTCAATGCAAAGTACCCTGATAAAGTGTGTAAGCTTGAGAAATCCATTTATGGATTGAAACAAGCATCTCGCAGCTAGAATCTTTGTTTTGATGATAAAGTCAAAGAGTTTGGCTTTTCGAGAAGCGAGGATGAGTCCTGTGTATATGTCAGAGCTAGTGGGAGTATAGTCAACTTTTTGGTACTGTATGTGGATGACATACTACTCATAGGAAATGACATCCCAACCTTGCATGAGGTTAAATCCTGGCTTGGGAAGTGTTTCGCTATGAAGGACCTTGGAGAAGCTGCCTATATCCTAGGGATAAGGATATTGAGAGATAGGAGTAAAAGACTAATTAGACTTAGTCAGAGCACCTACTTGGACAAGGTGTTGAAAAGGTTCAACATGTAGAATTCCAAGAAAGGTGATTTACTGATCCAAAGCAATTCCAAACTGAGTAAGGCTTAGAGTCCGAGTACAGAGGCTGAGATAGCTGAGATGAGTCGATTACCATATGTTTTCGCCATTGGCTCGATCATGTATGCTATGACTTGTACCCGCCCTGATGTGGCCTTTGCTTTGAACATGGTCGGCAGATATCAGGGGAACCCTGGCAAGGCTCATTGGACTGCGGTAAAGAACATTATCAAGTACCTGCGAAGGACTAATGATTGGATCCTTACTCTTGGTGGGAGTGATGACTTGAGAGTAGTAGGGTATAGTGACGCCAACTTTCAAACCGATAGAGATAATTTCCGCTCTCAGTCAGGCTGGGTCTTTACCCTGAATGGAGGGGAAATTACTTGGAAAAGTTCCAAGCAGGAGACAGTAGCTGATTCGACATGTGAATCAGAGTACATAGCAGCAAGTGAAGCGGCGAAGGAGGCGATATGGCTGAGGAACTTCATCGGAGACCTTGGAGTTGTACCAGCTATAAAGGAGCCCATGGAGATTTTATGTGATAGCAATAGTGCGGTTGCCTTAGCCAAGAAACCGAGAGATCATGGCAGATCCAGACACATTGAAAAAAAATATCACTTCATAAGACACAAGATAGAGGAAGGACTCCTCAAGGCACATAGGGTATCGTCAGAAGAGAACCCAACAGATCCCCTCACGAAGGGACTGACTAGGGTTAAGCATTTTCAACATGCGAGGCGCATCAACCTGAAGGACGATATTAGTTTTACTGATTATGTAGCTATTTCTGAAACTTGTAAAATGTAATTGACATTTGATGATTAAATAAAAGTTGTTGCTTGTTTATGAGTAAAGTGTTACTATCTTGTGTCAATCGTTTACTATTGTTTCAACTTTGCATGTTTTGACTTCCAGAATAATTACTTTATTCAAACTCTCCACAATCAATCATACTTTGGAAGTAGGTATGAATCGAGACTGTCATGAATTGGGCTTGTAGATGTCTAAGGTGTTTAGACATAGTAAAAGTTGCTGCAACATTCATGAGTGCTCATAAGTTCTGAGTATTGGATTAAACCCACGCTTACTTGTATCACTTCATGGAATTTATCTCGAGTGATCATGAGACGGTAATATCATATAAGTCTTCAAACCTAGAGATATAAGTTGTTGACTATGAGTTGGTTGTACATTGATTGTACGAAAACGCATCAGTAACTTGATGTTATAAAACGTGCCTTTGTGTATGATTCAACAAGTAGTTAGTACAAGCATATGAGTCGAAGTTTATATGTTCTTTTTAGTCCTGGGAGGATTAGAAGCGATATCTGGGCCCCTCGATGATTTTGTTTTGACCTATGTGTTGGGCCCGGTCAGAACCAAATTGATGTGTTCGGTTTAGTTATATGTCAAACAAATCGAAAATCGGGAAACAAACAGTTGGACAATAAGTACGACGTTGTTCCATGTATTTTTTCCGGCTGATATCTTGAGAATAGAGGATTATATGATCACTTATCAAAAAATGACACTTTATAGTTCAACAGAGTTTTAAGAGCTACGATTGTTGTTCGATTCCTGAAGTCATACTTGCAACTATAGTTATCAGACTTATCCAAGTGGAAGACTGTTGGATAAGGTGTCTAAGTCCATAACTATATTTGGTATGTACTTGACCCGACCCGGCATGGTCCATTTGGGTTGCACTTCACCGGAACAATTTGTATGGATAGTCTTTTGAGAATAGTATATTTATGATTTATTAATATATTATAAGTTATAATATATTAATATGAAATCATATTATTTAATTAGTATTGATCAAGAATTAATTTGGAATTAATTTAGTGATAAAAAAAGAAACTAATTAAATATGGACTCTTATATATAGAATGGGCCAATGTTCATTTAGGATGGGCTAAGCTTGCATGGAAGTCCATGGATAGTCCATGGAGCTTTTAACCCATGCATGCTATAGAAATGAAAGGTCATAGGTATTAGGGTTTACATGGATGTAACCCTAATCCACCATACTATATAAAGAGGTCTTTGGCACTTGAAATTGGAACTAGTGTGTGAGATAACAAGGGTGGGCCGATTTCAAGATTACATCATATTCTCTCAAAGTCTTCCAAGTTGTTTTGGTGATTTGTGATTCCACTTAAGGCATTCACATTATTGGTGCTAGGCTCTTAAAGCTCTAAGAAATCAACCACAAAAAAGGTATGTCATCCTACTAGTTTTTATATTACATGTACCCCAATCACATGCTAGTTAGGATGAAACCTTGGAAAAAGAAAGTTTGCATGTATAATAGAGAAAACATAGATCCAAGGTTTCTAGGGTTGCATGCACACCATAGGAGTGTTAGAATGCTCAAAACCCATCATTTCCTCCATCTACATATTGTAAATGTTCAATATTTGGCCCATGCCTCTTGAAATGACTTATTATGAAAATATATGAAGACTGATGAAAATCTATTCTATAAGAAAAACCAACAAGATAGTGTACTACGGAGAAAGAGTCATTGGTGTCACTAGAATGACAAAACTCGACTTTGATCGCTTACCCTACTTTGGATATGAAATATTCCAAAATGACATCAATAAATCCTTGGGTAAGTGAAACTAATTTTCATCACATAAATAAAAGTGATTTGAGTTCACTTCTTATTTGAGAAATTGGTATGAATGGAGATATTTATAGAAAGGCTTATGAATGATTGTGATAATAATGGACTTTAAAATGTGAAAAGTGACATTTATTGATATAGTAGAGGATCTAAACTTGTACCTTTTGGATTAGAGGAGATGCAAAAGAACTGTACCTATTATCCATTCTCACAAAGTGTTACATCCCTATTTTCACTGCCATTTTAAATTTTTTTTATTTATGCTTATTTAGAATCAGAGTTTATTTATCAATGAGGAATTTGGTCCATTAAAAGTATTTCCGAAGAAATGTTTTCATTGAAAAATAAAAGCTTGGGATGTCATCACTGATACAAAACATAAGCATAAACATGCCTTGCAATGTTTTAGACTAACAATCTACATCTCCTTGAATCTCTCATCATGCATGTACCTTTGTACCGTTATCTGTGATATAAAGAAGCTGACTGGGTTAGGTTGGGAAACCTGGTGAGTACATAGAGTTTTCAACCCATAATAATATAGTCAATATGTTTAATTATCAAATAATTAATCTCGATTACCCATCCCATTTTCTTTTATATTTATTCTAAAATCATCTTCTAAGAATCATCATTTATATCGCCATTTCTTATATAATCATCACATATCATCTTATTATATATCTTCATCATTAAGGGCTTGTCCTAATATTTGTCACCTATCATCACAGTTTATATTTCCATTACTAAGGACTTTTCATAATGTTTATTGCTTAATCATCACATTATATTCCTGATTCTTACATCGCCTGAACTCGTAATTCTTCGGTAGAGTACAATACATGAATACACGGTTCTTACATCGCCTGGACTCATAATTCATCGATAGAGTACATTGCATGAATACACGGTTCTTACTTCGCCCAAACTCGTAATTCATCACCTATAGGTTGCAAACCTGCCGGTGTTCCATTTGACTGTTTAGACAAGTCTGTGGTTATCATCTATACTTTGGTAGATGAGTGCATCGCAATCATCGCAAGTAAGGGTCAGGGAATCTCTTAATAATTTTTCATTTCTCAACTCCAATTTCTCATCACCCATCACTACCTGATATATATATATATATATATATATATATATATATATATATATATATATATATGTATTTGTATATGAAAATACTTATATAATAAAATTGAGTAAAATCATATCATATAGTTTCATCCAACCCATATTGCAGATAATAGACACATATATCATTTAATTATCTAAATAATTCATATCTATGTGTAAGATGAAAGTAACTATACACTCACTTAATAAAAGTGGATGACGGACGATTTCGGTAGCGCTTCGCTTCGTACTTGGAAAAGACCTAGACACATAAAGTAGTAAGCTAGCCTTAGTCTATTTTCATAATCTCGGTGACTATAATAATTATAGTCTATACTCCTCACTAATCCTAATGTCTGCATCAAGATCTATCATGTAAGGATTAGCCAGACAAAATAGTTCGTAGGTAGGACCATTTCGGCATTTAGCCTTTCTGAAATCCAAAAAACCAAACGAACGTGACCATTCTAGATACCTCTCCTGTAAGTAGATCAATCAGTATTATGATTTGGAATCACTGATAAATCTTATTTATAGGTTCTGAATAACGACTTATGCCTATAAATATAAGCTACACTGAAAGAAAAAGAGTGTAGCTTAACTTATAGAGGTTCTCCCCGACCAAATTCTGTAAATCGCACTTGCAGGGCTCCTACTGGATGGCTACTACTTAGTTGAATACCTCAGGGGTCACAGGGCTTCGCGGGAGCACTGAAATCTTAGGGAAAATGGGCAAAAAGGTTGGAATAATCAAGAGAGAAGGATTTTAAGGGTGTGAGCGTTAGAGCTTATACGGAGACGAGTATATATAGCCAAAAAAATATAAGCGCACCGCGTATATATGGGTGTGTGTCGCGCTGTCTAACGACTCTGGCTCCACTGGTCATTTGCCACGTGTCGCCTTGCTGCTCGTCCGCAACATCTCTTCTAGAATGTTACCACGTATCATATTTTCAAGGTGCCACGTGTCCAAATCTCATGGTGCCACGTCGTCATGTCTCGTAGAGGAGTGGACGGCCAACTTTCCATGTGGCGCACTCCGGTGCTGCCATGTCATGAGCACAAGTATTTTCTTGAAATCTTCAGACGACCATAACTTTCGCATCTGAGCTCCGTTTTGCAACGTTCTTTATATCCCCAGAATCCTCTCGATGAGATGTACCACTTTAATTAAGCTTTCAACATATAGTTCTTGCTCTAACAAAAAATCATATTTTTCATAGGCTTAGGCTGTTGAATTCACTGCGGAAATCATAACTCCTACGTACAGACGCCGTTATCGACTGTCTTTTTATTAGCGGGTTCATATTCATGAGATCTTCAATTCACATTTAGATTGTTTCGGCTAACACTTCAACGATTAGAATTTGGATTTCTGAGCTCGTACTACTAAACTGAAACTTCTAAAAATCATAATTTCCTCTCACGATGTCATATTTGGACGTTATTCATATGCATGCTTTTGGTTTAACGAGTACTACAACTTTTGTTTAGATCACTTAGGCTAAATAGTAATTTACCACAACTTCTTCATACGAAGTCGGATTTTGGTGTGCTTTATATGTACGAAGTCCTTGTAACATATAATTTAATCTGTCTAAGATTATTTACCCTAAATAATCTTCTATAAAAATGTCATTTTTATAGCTTATTCTATTTTAATTGAGTAGCCCGAATCTGCGGGTATTACACAAAAGAATTCCTTACATCCACATGCTCTAGAAGCACTTCTTTAAACTTAATCAGAAAAATGATCACATGAAAGAGACTAGAAAAAGGATCACATGAAAGAGCACACACATACATTTTTAGGTTTACAGTCATTTAAAAAATAAACAATTTGTGAAAGTTAATGTATGCACATCACATATAAAATAGGTTAAGAAAATATACAAACAAAAAACAAACACCACCTTACTTTCTTCACGTAATAAGAAAGAAACCAGCATAAATAAAATATTTAATTTTGACATTAAAAATTTAGCCAAAACGTATTAATAATGAGCACTTTGAACTACTCTATACTTTTATAATACTTAGTAAATTAAGACTAATC